ATAGGGGGAAGCGCGCAGGTGGGGCAAAGCATGTAAACCCCAAAACCCCTAACCCCTAAACCCCTAAACCCCTAAACCCCTAAACCCCAAACCCCAAACCCTAAACCCTAAACCATAAACCCTACACAAAACCCTGAAACCCTAAAGACCCTAAAACCCCAAAACCCTGACCTTAGTATGAAGGATTGAAGAGGACATGGGAGCCTAAGGCCCCTCTCAGTCGATGTTCAGGCGTTTAGAGACTACTTGGAGGTTCATGGTTTAGGGTTTGGGGTTTAGGGTTTAGGGTTTGGGCTTTGGGCTTTAGGGTGGTACTTATTGACCAATCATAACTGTTCTTAGAAGTGGGTTCTAAGCCCCCTCAAGTGCCCCAACATGGTTAAAAGTACAGTTATAAGTAAAGTTTTACTTGGTTCTAGGCACAGTTATACGTACAGCTTTACTTGGTTCACCCTAAACCCTAAACCCTAAACCCTAAACCCTAAACCATGAACCTCCAAGTAGTGGGGGGGGGGGGGGTATGTAACCCAAGGTTCCCGAATACTCCCCAGCCAAAGCTTCCCAGGGTTCCCTCTAGGTACCCCCCCAATGACCCCCCGCCCTTCAGGACCCTCAAGAAACCCTGAGGTTGCCCTAAACCCTAAACCCTAAACCCTAAACCTAAACCCTCAACCCTCAACCCTAAACCTCCCTTATATATATATAGTTTAAATGTTGGGGACTTACTGGGCAAGGTCGCCGATTTACTGGGCAAGGTCGCTGTTTTACTGGCCAAGGTCGCCGTTTTACTGGGCAAGGTCGCCGTTTCACTGGGCAAGGTCGCCGTTTTACTGGGCAAGGTCGCCGTTTTACTGGGCAAGGTCGCCGTTTCACTGGGCAAGGTCGCCGTTTTACTGGGCAAGGTCGCTGTTTTACTGGGCAAGGTCGCCGTTTTACTGGGCAAGGTCGCCGTTCTACTGGGCAAGGTCGCCGTGTCACTGGGCAAGGTGGTTTTAGGGTTCAGGGCCTACTCTGGGCTGGCTTTAGGGTTCAGGCCCCACTCTGGGCTGGCTCTTTAGGGTTCAGGGCCTAGTCTCGTCTAAGTTGGTCTGGGCTGGCTTTAGGGTTCAGGGCCTACTCTGGGCTGGCTTTAGGGTTCAGGCCCTACTCTGGGCTGACTTTAGGGTTCATCTGGGCTGGCTTAGGGTTCAAGCCCCACTCTGGGCTGGCTTTTTGGTTCAGGGCCTAGTCTGGTCTGTGGCTTTAGGGTTCAGGGCATAGGGCTGGCTTTAGGGTCTAGGGTCTAGCCTGGGCTTCTTTTCGGGGCTTTAGGGCTCAGGCCCCACTATATGGGCTGGGTTTGGGGTTCAGAGCGGTTCAAGGCCCGCTCTTTTCTGGGTTGGCTTTAGGGTTGTTGTCTTGTCGCCTGAATTTATAAATGTAAGTGACATATTTTCTTAATGTTATGGGATTCTTTGGGCGGGTGGGTATTTTTCCAACGCTCGATGAAGTGCTTGACTAGTGAATGCTTGGACTTGAGATGCTGAACCCTTAACCTTAAACCTTGTAAAACCCTAAACCCTGAGCCCGAACAAGTTTACGGTTTAGGATGTAAGGCTTAGGGCTTTGAGAGTTCCTACGCTTCTCCTAAATCTCTCAGGCAACTCCTTGACTTGATTGGTTAGGGTTTGAGGTTTGAGGTTTAGGGTTTAGGGTTTATAGGTTTAGGGTTTAGGGTTTAGGAAGCTATAACGATTCAGGGCTGAGGCCTTAGCAGTGTGGTATGTGCAAGCCACGTGGCAGACTTTCGATCGGATCAGGAGCCGGCCGTGCCATCTGGCATTCATGCCCACCTGCTCTGAGTAGCGCTTTAGGGTTTAGGGATTAGGGTTTAGGGTCTAGGGGATTAGGGGGACCCTTGGGGCTATACCTCTCAATAAGGCCCCTGTTTAAGAGAGCCAGAAAAAGGGTTCTGAAGGGCTCCCTTTTAAGGGTCCTCCTGATCCTAACCCGAGCCGTAACTAGCAACCCTAACACACCCCTACCAGGATGGGCTACTCGGCCTTTTAATCCCCATAACCAACCCTTTAAAGGGGCTTTTTAAGGGGTTATAGGGTTTAACATAATCGCCCGTCCTGGTAACCTGCACCCAACAGTGAACAGTGCATCCCCAGACACGGGGCGGCAGGAAACCGACGCTCGCTCGGAACTGAGGGCGCCGCTTTGGACTCTAATCGGTAGCCCTTGGCAGGGTCCTGCGGCGCTCACCCTAAACCCTAAACCCTGAACCCTAAACCCAAAACCCGATAAACCCTGAACCTTGATGGCGCAGAAACCCTAAAACCTAAACCCAAAAAACTAATCCACCTACGCCGATCCCTGTGAGTGTAGACGCTCCTATAGGGTGAACTCCTAAAACCCTGACACAGGCCCAAGAAACCTGAAACCCCGACTTTCAACCCAATAAGGGTCTGGGGTTGAGTGCTAGGGGCCTAGGGTTTGGGGTGGTTTAGGTTTGAGGTTTGAGGTTTGAGGTTTGAGGTTTGAGGTTTGAGGTTTGAGGTTTGAGGTTTGAGGTTTGAGGTTTGAGGTTTGAGGTTTGAGGTTTGAGGTTTGGGGTTTGGGGTTTGGGGTTTAGGGTTTAGGGCTTAGGGTTTAGGGTTAGGGTTTGGGGTTTAGGGCTTGGGGCCTAGGGTTTGGGGGGGGTTCAGGGTTTAGGATTGCAATGCCCATACTCTCAAAACGCACCGAGGGCCGGTCTAGTCCTTGGCATAGTCCCAAAGCATCCTCGGCCACGTCAAAAACCGATGAGCGGCCATGCTTTGGGATGCTCTGCCTTCAAACTAACAGTCCTTCGCAGGGAGTATACTAGGGGGATACTATCATCCCTACTAAGGACTAGTATAAGGGGGAACATCCCAAGCTATGCTGGACATTCCAGGGCTTGTTCTTTGTAAGGTCTTTCTTAGGTCTGCAGGAGGGTCCCAGCTGTGGAGGGAGGGAGGGGGGACTGCCACACTGCACGCATGGCACCGCACTTGTAGATTGAGGTCCCTTCGTGGGTCCCCATCCTCTCCCGGAAAGGGTCCCAAGAATGTACGTTTCAGAAGGTTGAAGACTCGTCTCTAGGGTTCAAAGGGCTACAAGTAAGCCCGAAGCCCAAAATACCTAGAAGCCCTGAACCCCAAACCCTAAACCCTGAACCCTACACCCTACACCCTAAACCCTGACCCTAAACCCTAAACCCTAAACCCTAAACCCTAAACCCTAAACCCTAAACCCTAAACCCTAAACCCTAAACCCTACCCGAACCCTGAACCCTGAACCCTAAACCCTAAACCCTAAACCCTAAACCCTAAACCCTAAACCCTAAACCATAAACCCTAAACCCGAAACCCTAAACCCTAAACCCTAAAACCCTAAACCCTAAACCCTAACCCTAAACCCAACCTAAACCCTTAAACCCTAAACCCTAACCCTAAACCCTAAACAAAACCTAAACCCTAAACCCTAAACCCTAAACCCCCTAAGCCCTCCACCTGCGGCTTCAAAACAGCCAAGGGGCTCCAAGCTGCTGGCCTCTCCCCTTGGCGGTCTGGTAGGCCTCGGGTGCCGTTGGAGAAGCCTAACCGCCCCCCCCCCCCCCCACCCCCCCTCCCCAACACGTTTAGGGTTTAGGGTTTAGGGTTTAGGGTTTAGGGACTCGGATTTAGGGTTTAGGGTTCAGGAAGTCTCCACACGAGCCAGCAATTGGGGGAGGGTGGGGAGCGGGGGGGAGGGTGGGGAGAGGGCAGGGGGGAGTGACACCTGCATAGGTTGTCACCCACGAACACCAACACGAACATTCAGGGCTCGACCGATGGTGGTGGGTTGTAGGTTTGTAGGGTTGGAGGTTGGGAGAGTCGAATGGGGTTCAGGGTTTAGGTTTTAGGAGCGCGGGGTGGGGTGCAAGGTTGAAGGTTCTGCAGGGTAGGCGTTTAGGTTTTGGGGTCACCCTGCAGCAGCGCAGCATAGGAAAAGACTGACCCTTTGTTGCTTACTGGGAACTGTACAAACATCTAACCCAAGAGAAGAATCAAAAGGGCGCCACAGATGATCACATCGTGGTTGGCCCATAGATAGCACCTGAGACTAAGTAGGTAGCTTTGTTGTGCTTACTTTTTGTCGCACGGATTCCGCGACGAAAGAGTGCCTGCAAAGTTAAGAAGAACCCCTGAATCTCAAACCCCCAGCTCAGTAGCCCAGTAACCATATCACAATAAGGGCAACCCTTTTTGGGGATAGTTACTTTATAAGGGAACCCAGAACCAAAAAAAGGGTAAAGGGTACCACTGGGCTACCAAGTCAGTAGATGAAAAGACCATTCCTTTCATCCAAAGACATGCTAGTCCCGTGTCGGCCCCCAAACTGCCCTCACCAAACCAGCCAACACCCCCCACCCCGCCCCAAACCCAATAAACCCTAAACCGTACACCTTAAACCCTAAACCCCCAAATTCCTGAACACTAAACCCCAAAAACACCAAAAACCCTCTAGACCCTAAACCCCAAGCCACCACACAAGACGGGGCCTTGCTATCCTTGGCGACCAAGAGGTGCGTGCCCCATGGGTAGGGCTTGATCACCTGGCACAAAACACGCCCTAAACCCCAAACCCCAAACCCCAAACCCCAAACCCCAAACCCCAAACCCCAAAGCCCAAAGCCCAAAGCCCAAAGCCCAAAGCCCAAAGCCCAAAGCCCAAAGCCCAAACCCAAAATCTAACCCTAGACCCGAAGCGAGGGCCGAAGTGTACCTGAATTTTGCATGTCAAAAAAATAACTACAGGGTACTCGGGCAGGGGGGGGGGTCCTCTTTTTCTTCAGCATCCGCGCGGCTCACAGCCGTGTGCGAAGCTCTGAAATGCTCGCCTCAGAAACTTGGCGCAGCCCTAAACTCTAAACCCTAAACCCTGAACCCTAAACCTAAACCCTGAACCCCAAACCCTAAACCCCAAACCCTAACCACCCGACTGGCGCTCATTCAAAACGTCCGTCGCTTCTTGGCTTTCTTCTGCTCGGTCTCGGCTGGCTCGCGCGACCCCAAGAGCCTCCTCGGAGAATTGAGTGGTACCCTAAACCCAAAACCCTAAAAACCCTATAACCCCTATAGACCCTTATAAACACTATACACCCTAGAACCCCTTACTAGCCCTATAAACCCTATAAACTCTATATCCCCTATAAACCCTATAAACCCTAAGCCTTACAGTTTTGAGCTAACAGCCCAGTCACGACACGGCCGTTGGAAGTGTTCGCGCTTTGAGCAAAGCCTGGACAGGTCCGGCGATTCTTGGCGCGTGCCAGTTCCAGGCCAAGGAGGGTTTAGGGTTTAGGGCTTAGGATGGTGTTGCAGATTGTTTAGCAAGCCCTGCCGCCCGGGAACCTTATACACCGTAAACCCTAAACCCTAAACCCTAAACCCTAAACCCTAAACCCTAAACCCTAAACCCTAAACCCTAAACCCAAATTTCTGCCGCCCGGAAACCTTATACACCCTAAACCCTAAACCCTAAACCCTAAACCCTAATTTCGAGGTTATGCCCGATTATGCCCTAAACCCTAAACCCAAAGCCTGAATCTTGGCGTTCTTGGCTCCGAAAGCAGCGCAGGCTCGTTGCAAGGGCTCTAGGCCTCAGCTTAAGGGGTTTAGGGTTTAAGGTTTGGGGTTTAGGGTTTAGGGCTAGGGTTTAGGGTTTAGGGTTTAGGGCCCCAAACCCGGGAGTACCCGAAACCCTGCCTGGCTCGGAACCTCTTCTGACTCACGTACTTACTCGCCCCTAGAAACCCGACTAGAATCCTAACCCCATATACTACGTCAAAGGTGCTGCCAAGTAAACCTACCTCAGAAGTTGAATTTTCTTATCGCATGCGACGTGTATTCTGTCGTGGGCTATCATGTCGTGTACATGTACAGAAGCGAACTACCCGCACGCACACTTACAAACTCTTCCCGCCTCCGTGACTGATGCATGACGGTATTCATGAGTTGGGGGTTTCCGAAATTAGGGGTACCCCTTTGGGGGTCCCTATAAGGGCATTCCTTTCTATTTAGGGCATAAAAGGGGTACCCCTATTTGGAAAATGCCAAGTCCTGACAAGCCCAACAAGCCACAAGAACCACCTGGTAATGGTGGTCTTCTCGGTCCAAGGTCCTTCTCATGAAGACATCAGAAGGAAAAACTCGGGTCAGTGTGGTATGTGAATCACACAGTTAGTACAATCCTGGTGTAGGTTTGCTCTACTCCAAGTTCTCCTATAGCTCTCGAGCCAGGCAGCCTTTGAGCAGCGAAGCTTCGGCGATAGCCACGAAGCTCTCATCGGTAATCATCTCCCTGAGAGGAGCCGAGAGCATTTCCACCACGCCAGGGACCTGGCTTTCTCCACCAGAACAAGGCGACTAGAATCGGGGCCCGAATCTCCCTACACATGGCTCATTGGCTCATAATTCTGACAGTATGCCATAGCATATTACAACTTGGTGTAGTATGCAGTATGACATAGTAAAGTTATGCTGTGCTTGACTTTACGAAGCGGGGCCCCTCTTCAAGAAAACAAGCCTGATGCAAAAAACCCACCTGCCAGCGGTGAGCCAGGTCCAGCGCAACCAGCATGGTCTTGTAGTCTGGATCACCTTACTTCTCCAGTAACCCGGGAAGTATAAAGCTTAAACTTCAATGTTCCTATTCAATAAGGAAACCCAGAAGGTTTCAACGTTCAACTTTTTGGAGAAGTAAGTGGCTGTACGTCGAGCCAGCGTAGAGAATGTCCAGGAACAGGGACACGCTGGCGCTCGGCGAGTCTCGGATGGGGATTCGCCGGCTGGCGCCCTCTTGCATGGAGGACCCCAACATGGCCTTCAGAACAGGCGAGGCCACCTTGGTAGCCCATTATAACCATCTTGGCATACCCCCACCGTTTTTTTGGTTGGTATACTTGATAAGGGAACCTTGAGACAAAAAAAAGGGGGTGAAGGGTTACCAGAGGGCTACCAAGCCGCCATGAGGACATGGTCGTGGGCTGAGACTTCGCCGTCGGAGGTCTCAAGGATCACGTTGTGCGTGGAAGTCAACTCGCGGATGGACTCCCAGAGCTCACAGACGCTGTGATGCACTCCAACTTTTGGAGTCGTAGATGGCTCACTTGCCAAGGTACGCACCACAACTTCAAGAAACTTGATGGATGAAGACCAGTCTGCTCCACCCTTCCGCTTGCGCATCTCATCTAGCCACTTGAAGGCGTATGAAATTGCAGAGTGTCCGGCCAAGTTTACTGACATTTTCGTCTTTTCAGTATCATCCTCTTTCCACATTGACCACGAGTCCTTTACCGTGTGTGGTGCCCTGTGTCTTGGGCTTGCTCCGGCCTCTATCATCCATTGAATTACTTGGATGGCGTTGCCAGAATAGGAGGGGTCGGCGATGTTTGCGCTAATTGCAGCTGCAAGCGGCAGCATGCGAGCTCCGCCGAATGTCAGGCATGCGTTCCAGTCAAAGTCGCGGCCTGCGAATCTCTTCAAGCCTGACACGTCACCCAGATTGATGAAGCCAGCGATCACATCCGCATCGTGCGACTGTGACGAAGCCATCTTCTCTGGAATGAGTTAAGAATACATCTAACAACTAGCAGAGAAAGCAAGGAAGGAGTTGACTGTTACTAGTTACCCTTTATGGCCGACCCTCCACTGCCCAACGGGCACTTCCCCTGTTCGATGGTCCAAGTGCCTTGAAGCCACAACGCATGACATCAATCAAAACGGTGCGGGTGCCGCCGGGGGGGGGGGGGGGAGGGCACTTTAGGGTTTAGGGTTTAGGGTTTAGGGTTTAGGGTTTAGGGTTTAGTCTGCACGGGAATTATGCTCTTCAGACTGCTACAATCACAGTCGTTTAGGGTTTCAACCTCTTGACACCCAGGAAGAGGTCAGTGTTGCCATGGACACTGTCGAGCATCTACTTCCTTAACTTGCCAGAGGGGGGGGGGGGTTCAAGGTACTTTAAGTCGTATGGCCTTGGGTGAATAGGGGAAGCCCCCAAGGCCCCCAAATCCCGAGTCTTGGGTTGTGTATGGGTAGAAAAACATGGAAGGGGCACGGCAGGCTCCCAAACTACGGGCCCATGCGAAATGACCGGCGTCCGACCGTCTCATGCCGCCCTCAGAAGTAGCTATGGACTTCCCGCTGCCATATCTGACCCCTAAGCCCTAAACCACTAAACCCCTAAACCCCTAAACCCCTAAACCCCTAAACCCCTAAACCCTAAACCCTAAACCCCTAAACCCTAAACCCCTAAACCCTAAACCCCTAAACTCATGAACCCTTGTGGGGCCGCACGGGGCATCCGGAAGGGCCCTGGCAACAGTTAGCTTCAGATGCCATAAAGCCCTTACCCAAAATGCATCTGCGTGGCAGGGCCGAGGGGCAACCCCAAACCACCCCCAAAAAGCCTAAGCCCCCCCCCCGGCCAATTTGAAACTCTAGTTGACCTCTTTTCCAAACCCTAAACATCCCAAAACCCAAAACCCTGGTCCCTGCACCCTGCAAGCTAACCTTTCGGGTATTGACGAGGGCATCCCAGACCTAAACCGGCCTAACTAAACCTCAACTCCTGAACCTTAAGCCCTCACCCCCTAAAGCTCTAAACCAAAAAACCTTAAACCCTAAAAGCCCCCAAAACCCTAAAGCCTTAAACCCCAAAAGCCCAAAAGCCCCAAAAAACCCAAAACCCTAAAACCCTACGACCCTTACCTAGACCGGAGTCGCTCTAAACGCCCAACAAGCCAAAAGCCCTAACACCCTAAACCCTATAAACCTACACCCTATAAACCTACACCCTAAACCCTAAACCCTAAACCCTGTAAACCTACACTCTAAACCCTAAACCCTAAACCCTAAACCCTAAACCCTAAACCCTAAACCCTAAACCCTAAACCCTAAACAGCCTTCTCTTTGACGATGTCGGTGGCATCCGCCAGTTCCCAACCTCGAAGCGCAGGACGGTTAAGAGCGTTTAGGGCTTTGGGTTTATGGAGGTTTAGGGTTTAGGGTTGAGGGTTTAGGGTTTAGGGTTTAGGGTTTAGGGTTTAGGGTTTAGGGAGCTTAAGGGTTCAGGGCCTCAGGGTTTCAGGGGGTGAGGGTTTTAGGGTTTTAGGGTTTAGGGTTGTAGGGTTTTCGGGCTTGGTTTTTAGGATTTTAGGGTTTTGGGGGACAGGCATGAGAGGTTTCAGGGTTTTGGGGGTTTGTGGGGTTTGAGTTTTAAGGTTTAGGGTTTGGGGTTCAGGGCCTATGGGCTCTGGGGTCAGGGCCTGTTGACAGTTTAAGCGGGCAAGGGTTTAGGGTTTAGGGTTTAGGGTTTAGGGTTTAGGGTTTAGGGTTTAGGGTTTAGGGTTTAGGGTTTAGGGGTTGGGGGTTACGGGTTAGGGTTTAGGGTTTAGGGTTTTGGGCTTACGAGCTTAGCCTGGAGTTGTGGGGTTCGTTGCAGGGCTCCTGGAGGGGGCCGGCCTCGCTTTAGCTTTTCGCCACTGTTTCGGGAGTTCAGAGAGAAACAGGTTTAGGGTTTAAGGTTTAGGGTTTGGGGTTTAGGGTTTAGGGTTTAGGGAATGGCTCAGTGACCAAATTCACACGCAGTTGCCTTAGCTTCCTGAACAAAAATCCAACAACATCTGCGGGCCCAGCAAATGTTTGGCGCTCTGCAGCCCGACTGCAAGAACATCGCTACCCGGCTTAACATGAAGCCCAGTGTCCTCCCCAAGCATCCTAAGCCCTAAGCCCTGAACCCTAAACCCTACACCCTAATCCCTAATTATAAACCCTAAACCGTAATCCCTAAACCCTAAACCCTAGAAACCCTAATCCCTACACCCTAAACCCTAGAAACCCTGAAACCCAAACCCTAAAAACCCAGATCACTAACCCTAAAACGCAGCCCCACCTCGCCTCCCGGGATCTTGTTGTAGGTCAGACCTTTCGAACCCTCGTTCGGCTGGTAGTAGCGCGGGGTGACGTCGAGGCCTTGGGTGTTTGTTAATCTTACTATGTTTTTTTGTTTCGACGATGATTATTATCATCATTATCATCATTACTACTACTATTATTACGATGATTATTGTTATTTGTTTCTGTTCTTTTATTTATTTAGGGCTTGGGTTGGTAAGCCTTCCAGGGTTTAACCCTAAACCCTAGAGCATAACAATAGCAACTTCTTATGAACCCTGAGCAATAAAAAAACACCATTGTAAACCCTAAAGCATAAACCATACCAACTTTCTTATACATGTGGCAGGTGAGCACATGTCGGAATATACACAGTAGGGTGATGGGGGTGAGATCAGGGATTCACGAGTTTTTTTGGGCTTATTTGAAGCCTGTCGGGCTTTGGGGTATCTGGGGGTGTTCTGGGGTTAAGGCCCCAAACCCTAAACCCTAAACCCTAAACCCTAAACCCTAAACCCTAAACCCTAAACCCTAGACCCTAAACCCTAGACCGAAACCCTAAACAAAGAGCAAAACAAATCACTGACAGGGGCCCTTGCAGGCAAGTGGAAGCCAGAGTCAGAGCTTAACGCGACGAAAGCGCAGGGTTTAGGGTTTAGGGTTTTTAGGGTTTATAGGGTTTATAGGGTTTAATAGGGTTTATAGGGTTTATAGGGTTTATAGGGTTTATAGGGTTTATAGGGTTTATAGGGTTTAGGGTTTAAGGTTGTGGCATGCTCAGCTCTGCAAGCAGATGACGGACGCAGTCAAGAAGACTGGGACAGCTTGACTAAATTCACTCCAAACTAGTACCAAGACCGTGACCCCCAAACCCGAAACCCTAAACTTTCGACAGACCCCAAACCCTAAACCCTAAACCCTAACCTCAAGTTCCAGCTTCCCCAGTCCCAGAAGCCCCCTGGACCTATGCCCCATCTCCAGAGCCCCCCGCAACATCCCTGAAACCCCTACTTTGGCCACCAAATTCGAAACCGGACCCCAAACCCCAAAAAGGTTTAGGGTTTAGGGTTTAGGGTTTAGGGTTTAGGCCGACTCCCCGCACGTCATGCCCTCCGGGGTACCGAGGTCCGGTAGTGACTGAGGCGGGGTGAAGTCGATGGCTGCGTAGAGGTGGCCTTGCGATGATCCCCCTGATTCTTAGCGTTTTGGGGTTTAGGGTTTAGGGTTTAGGGTTTAGGGTTTGGGGTTGCAAAGATCCCCTGATTCTTAGCGTTTAGGGGTTTAGGGGTTTCGGCTTTTGGGGTTTAAGAATGTAAGGTTTAGGGTTTAGGGTTTAGGGTTTAGGGTTTAGGGTTTAGGGTTTAGGGTTTAGGGTTTAGGGTTTAGGGTTTAGGGTTTAGGGTTTAGGGTTTAGGGTTTAGGGTTTAGGGTTTCGGATTTAGGATTTAGGATTTAGGGTGTAGGATTTAGGGTTTCCTGATTCTTACTGGGAATGAGGGGATTAGGGCCCTGTTTATACCCTTTAAGGGGTTACATTCTTAGGGTTTTTTGGGTGTTTAGGGGTTTAGGCTTTCGGGGTTTAAGAACTTTAAGGCTTAGGGGATTTAAGGGCTTAAGGGTTCAGGGGTTTAGGGCTCAGGGGCTCCCCCGGGATTCTTAGTAGGGAATGAGGGAACCCTACGTATAACCCCTCAAGGGATTACATGGGGCCCTCATTGCCTCATTCCCTGCTAAGAACCGGCCAGTGATTTTCTGGCCTTTGGGGGGGCGCTTAAAGTTTGCCTGGGACTCTCTGTACCGGCAGTTTTATGGGCATGGGTTCTACCTACTATTGAAGGGGTAGCTACTACTAAACTGTAGGTAAAGAGGCCCAGGTAGGGTTTAAGGGCAGGAAGGGGTGGGGTGGGGGTAGTGTATTTGTTTTAGGGTTTAGGATTCTTGTGATCTTTCGACTCGTGATTTGCCGTTTGGGAGGGGGCAGGATCTCTTTGGACTTATTCGTCTTTCCCGTTGAACAATATGCTGTTATAGGATTTCGGGTGCAACTCGCGATTTAGGTGTTTAAGTTTGGGAACTCACGTTGCAACGCGATGGGCTTCGGATTCAAGGTGCTGGATGGTCTTCGGGCTTTAGGGGTTTTCTTCTCCCCTCCCTCGGTGGCGTTGCTAGAGTTTTAACTAAGTTCTTCTCCTCGCCCCACTTCTCGCCCATCACCCGTATCCCACCCCAGAGTATCCCCAGAGAATCTCTTCAGTCAGTGCCCAACGCCAGCTGGGGTGCCCAGCCCAGCACAACCCCAGAGCATCCCCACAAAATTCCTGGAGTGCCAAACCCAAGAGTGAGCCCGCGAATTCCTTACCTGGTGGGGATGTTCGAAGACAAACATCTAGCGATTTCTAATATTGGTTCGGCAAATTTGGGGTTCGAATTCCGGGGTTCTACTTGCGCAAACCCTAAAGTCTAAACCTTAAACCCTAAACCCTAAACCGCCTAAACCCTAAACCCTAAACCCCTAAGTTAGTGCCCTGATGCTTTCGGTCTTCCTGGGCCGCCCCCAAGAGCTCCCCACCTTCACACTCGATGGCGTTCTGCCGCTGCTCTAAGGTGACCTGTGTGGCGTTCTCGGATTTCAGGGGCTCGGGTACCTTAAACCCTAAACC